TGTCTGAACAGTGTGCTTACAGTGTATCTCTGGGTTAATCTACTTTTCGTTCATTGAGCTTCTTGGATTTGTAGCTTTTTGTCTGTCATCAAATTTGGGAAGTTTTGGGCCATTATTTCTTCAAATATTCTTTCTGCTTCTTTCTCTCTCTCTCTCTTTTACTTCTCAGACTGGTATAATGTGTATGTTGATGTGCCTGATGGTATCAAATAAGTGTCTTAGGCTCTGTTCACTTTTCTTCATTCTTTTTTCTTTTTGCTCCTCAGACTCCATAATTTCAATTGTTCCATTTTCAAGTTTGCTATTTTTGTCTTCTGCCTGCTCACATCTGTTGTTGAACCGTGAATTTTTTATTTCAGTTATTGTATTTTTCAGCTCTAGAAATTGTTTGTTTCCTTTTATAATTTCTACCTCTTTACTGATATTCTCATTTTGTATCTTCATTTTTTACATGATTTCCTTTCCTCCTTTGTCCATGTTTTCTTTTTGCTCTTAAGACAGTTGTTACAAAATCCTTTTCTAGTAAATACCAATTTCTAGATTTCTCAGGGATAGTTTGTCAGTTTATTTTTGTCCCTTCCATGAGCCATGCTTTTTGTTTCTTTGTGTGCTTTGTGACTTTTTTTCTTGTTCTTGTTGACAATTGGATATTTTAATATTATAACTTGGTCACTCTGGAAATCAGATTCTCTCCTTCCTCAGGGTTTGATATTTTTTTATATTCTTGAAGACTGTTTTAGTCTATTTGTTTAGTGATTTTCTTGAACTATTTTTTATTTTTGCAAAGACTTACTCTTTGACGTGTAGTCACTGAAGTCTTTATTTTGTAGATTGTGTTCAGCTACAATTTTGACAGAGATTTCTTTGAATGCCAGGAGCTAAAAAAATAATGAAAACCAAACAAAAACCCAGAACCTTTCCTTGTCTTTGCAGATTGGCTCTATGCCACAGCTGTCCTTCATCATTTAGCAAGGCTTTCACTTATGCTAGTGATCAGCGTGAGGTGGAAGCTTACAGCCTTCCAGTTCCTATAGGATCATGCATCTTGCCCTGGGCATGTGTGTGGCCTTCTACATTCCTGTGTATATATGGATGCTTTTGAATGTCCTGATTTCCCAAAGAAACTCTGAGCAGCTTTTGCTCCCAGGTCTTAGGTGGTCTATTTTATGTTTCAATTGTGCCATATTATCCCATCACAACTAAAATGTGGCTACCTATAGCTTTGTTTTCAACTTAGTTTGAACCAATTTTTTTCCCCTTTTACTTTTAAATATTCATCACACACACTTGGTGACACTTCTCTAACAATTGAGAGAAGAAACTCTTTTTTAAATTATGTAATACTTTGCAGAATTCATACTTAGTGTGAGGTGATACTTTAAAACTTGATGTTTTTTAGAGGTAAACTGAAGGCACGATTGAGTAGGTGTGCTTATTTGTAGCATTACTCTGGTTGTTTTTAACCTAACCTAGTTTGAAATCTCTGGTTCTCCCTTCATAAAGCAGATGTTTGTGCCTATAAAGCACTATAGAAATCTATTGTTAAACCTTTGTTTAACATGATTTCAGTAGTGTACAGATAAGATAGTATATAAATGCCCTTGGCTAAACAGGACTGCAGTAAAAGCTGAAAAGGGGTCCAGAGTTCAATTAATCCAGCTTTGAAATTTAAGTCATCATTATACATATTATTGGCTTTAATAAGTTACATACATGTATACTAGAAATTACTGATGGAAAATACAATGCTCTTTGTATCCTCATTTAAAATAACATAACTACAAGCATGTTTTCTTCTAATCAGTCAACTTAGTTTAATTGTGATGTTATTAACTCATTTTACAAAGTTACTAACTAATGAGAAATGAATGTGTTATGTAAACTTCAAAGTGTAATAGTCACAAGTAATCGATGAACTGTTCCTTAAATATGTAATATATTGTACAATGTTATACATTTATAGTAACCTATATAATATGTATGTTATATATTGTATATAATTTATGCATTTATTTAAAATTTGTTCAATAAATATATCTAGATTATTTTCTTGGTTAGTTTACTTTAAAACTTGAAATATCTTTAAAATCACAATTGTATTTTAAAAATTTACTCTACTTTTCAAGCAAGTGAAAGGAAGTCTGTTATCTTAAAACACATTTAAGTAGTGCTGTTTGCTCATGTAGAGGCCTTTGTGTAAGATTACTTTAATAACGTATTTATGTGTGCATGCGTGTGTGTGTTTGTGAGAGACAGAGAGAGGGAGAGACCCGAAAACAGCCTGTGCATCCTCGTTTAGTTACAACCACTGACAACTTCGTTCAACACTAAGAACAGCAGTGAAAATCATATTAAACTCTCTTGCACCCTCTGTTGTTATTTTGGGGGAACACTGTGCATACCTTCCCATGATTGTGTTGACATTTGACTTATTACAATCCCTAGTAAAATTAATACTTATTTTACTATACTTACCTCCAAATTAGATTGATAGTAAAGTAACATTTGTTTGCAATGCTTAGTTGGTGTTTTCTTGTGTTACAGACATGTTTTTATTGTATAACATCTTAAATGAAAGATGAGCCTCTCTGTTTGTCTTTGATTTCTCCTAGTTACCAGCTCCTCCAAATGTTTCACACAAACGAAAATCTCTACAGGATATAGCACACTGTATATATAGTTCTCTAGAATTACAAATTCTGTCTGTTCTTTTGTAAACCTTTCAATTGTCGGTCAGTTTCCTTCCAAAATAAGAGTCTGGAATCGTCCATACTAAAATTAAGAATTTATAACTGTAAGGAACAGATGTTTTCATAAACATTTGCTATAATTAATTTCAACTAGAGGATTGAAGGAACAAAGCAGTTTTTCCTGCTCCAAAACTTTATTGCCTTTCCCCCGTATAGCAAACTCTGAAATCTTTTCTCTAATATTGTTTAGAGAAACAATTGTAGTCCTTATTTGGTATGTTTTAGAGAAACAAAAACTGCTTTTTTTTCTTATTACCATCCTTTGAAGGTTACATTTAATGTGGTATAGTCATATCAAAACATATATAAAATGAAGAAAACCTTTGTAATATATTATGATGACAAAACCTAGTTGTTTAAAAAATTGAAAATTTGAAACATTTTATATTTGATCTGATAAATACCAGCAGAAGGGAAGAAATATTCTATTTGTGAGATTTTATCATAATCTTTTGTTTTAAAGAGAAAGAAGGCTCATATTTTAAATGTATAAAATAGTACTTATTCTATGCTGATTATGGAATGTTTCACAGGAAATGTCTGCAAGCTGTTAAATAACATGTGTTGTAAGAAATTTTCGTTTAGCCAGACAAAGACTAATTTTCCTTAAATCTTTTTAGTTTATTATAATACATTAATTTATTTTGAAAAAAATGAAGTATGTTGTGTGAATAATCTTACAGTGTCGATGTTTTCAAAGAATTAACAAAATTTGCCCAGCTAGATTGTTCTTAAACATTTAAGTGTTTCTGGATTATTTTCTTCTATAAAATTTGGCAACATTTTTGAATGCTGTAAGCCATTTTAGGATTTTTGTTTAATGAAAAAGAAAAACTGAGAGTGCATTTTGCAAAAAGAATAGAGTTAAAAGTTCAGTGAGTGCGCTCAGTCCGGTTTTCGTCCTCGTAAACACTTTGGCGCAGCTGCAAAGATTTTGAAGAGAAACAACATTCTTGACTAATCTGTCAACTATAAAATGTGCAAAGAAAAATAGGTAGCTGTCATTAAAATTACATTTCAGCTTTCAATAACCATTTAATGAGTAGCATAATTATAGAAGTATGGTACCTCAAGTACTATACTCAATAATTAAAAATAATCTCATCTTTAAAGTGAAAGCTCTGTAATTATTATTTGACTTAACCAGGACCACTGTGATGATCTCCAGTGGCACCTTAGATTGTTCAAAGTGGATTAAAAGTATAAATTAAAATTGGATAAATCGTTAAATTATTAAGCTTTAAATATCATAAAAATGAATATAACCTGATGTTTGAAAGTTACATTACGGGAATTAGAAGTATGAAATGTAATCGGATTCTAGTCTTTTTAATTTATTTCTGAGAATAAATGATATATTTAATAGTAGTACACTATGGTTTCATAAAAATTATACTTTGATGTATATATTTTAAACAAATGATTCAAGTTAAATTTCTATCAATAAGAATATATATTTCATATTGTGGTATTGGTAATCACTTATTTAACAAATTTATTTTTATTCTGTAATCTTTAAACTGATAGATATGAATCTAGTCTAAATCTGATTTTATGAATATGCCAGTTTCCTGAGTGAAATGTTTTCTTTCCCAAAATGTTTATTACAACATGAGGCAGAAATACCTTTTGATGTTGTTGTTTTTTCATTTTTTAAACTGCTGATCTTTTGCCCACAATTAAAACAAAGTTTTGGGAACAATATTAATGTGTATTAAAAGCTCACAAGAATGCATTCTTGATCATCACCTCCTAAGTCTGCTTTCTGTTACCTCTCTGCGTACCAGTTTCCTAGAGAGTGGAGAACTGGAGGCTGGAAAACATTTCAGGTCGGATGTCTGCCCACTCTCTTTTGACTGTACCAGTGGTCAGGATGGGTGATTTGGTCACTAACAAAAATTTGCCCTTTGTTTATAAACATTAGTATATGATTAAATGATTTATAAATTGGTTTTGTCTGGGAGTCATAAGAAGAAAATGTATGTACTGTACTTCATTTGTTCCCATTAGTAATTACTTTGGTAGTATTCCTATCCAAGTTAGGCATGGTGGTGGTGGTTTATATTTAAGCATCAAAATGAATTTTTTGCCTAAAGGGCTCTGATTACAAAAGATATTTGGGGGAGGGATAAGGGGATATATGCTTTTTAACCCTATATACTGCATAGAGCTGTTATACAGTAGCTTTTCAACTGAAATATTCAGTTTCATAATCTCCATTATTTCAGTGTTTTTAAATTTTTTTTCCAGGAGATTCAAATAAAAATGGAAGAAGAACAAGTTCTACTTTAGATTCTGATGGGACTTTTAATTCCTATAGGTAGGTGATGAATACATAGATACATAATATTACAAGATGATGTGCAAGATCCCTAATCTTACAGGATTCTAATACAGTAGTAAGGAACTGTTACCTGTGCTTTAAAAGTATGACAAACATAAAGAATATTGTGAGATGCAGTTGTTCTGCAGACTTATTGAGTAATGGAAAATGCAACATTCTAAGTTCTTGAGCAAATGGACTTATTGTAGATGTCTGTTGTTATCCCATAGTAGGATAATTGGAATGAATGCACATATAGTATAAGCTAAGCTTCATTATAATCCATTTTTGTTTTTATTTTTTCAGTATATCTGTTACAGTATTAAAGGCTTCCTTTTGTTTAAGTTTCCTGCTAAAATGGAGTGTACTGCTTATGAGAGCATCTAAGAGAGTATAAAATGTAATCCATGGTTACATTATGTGCTGTTTGTTAATATCCTGTTTGGCTTTTCAGCAAACAGGGCAGTTATTTCTCAATTAGTGATTTTTGAAAAACGATATACTTGTTAAGAAAACATGTATTTTTGTCTCGTCTTTTGTTAATATTCTCCTTAGAACTTGAGTTTGCTTGAGTAAGTGTTTATGGATTTTGTCCCTTCGTAACATGGAAATCTAGGAAGAAGAAAGATTAAAGTATTTCCAGTAATGTTTGAAAATTCATATACTGAACCAAAATGATAGAAGAACCGGGTGGTTTTCTTTTAGGGGAAAAAAGTACAAATTCAGTAATACATTTTGACATTGTAGATTCTTAAAGAAATACTTTAGTTGGAATACATTCTCCTTATGGTTAATTAGTTGTGATATTTATGTAATGACACCATAAAATACATGCAAGAACCACTGTACACTTAGAAACTCATTTGAATATTAAGCTGTAACTCCTTTTATATAATAAATATGGAATTTAGGCTTAGAATCTTTATATTTTTACTTGAGTACATATTCTGTATCCCTAATTGGAACTATGTCATTTGTTTCTTCAGATCCCAGGCGAGCTTTTAATCTAGAGTAGGGCCTTGTATACAGGAAGCACTTAATAAGAATGTGGTAAATGTGGAAGTTTTTACAATTTGTTTATGAATTCCAGAAATGAAATGGTAATTGAAACACTTGACATCTTTATTTTATGCCAGTTGGGGTCTGTATAAATAATCAGTCATTCAAGTGTCCTGGATACTACAAAAGGCTTATGTTCCCATGGTGTTCTAGAAGGTATTGTCACAGCAGTAAGGCTCATATGCTGTCATTAAATTTCACTGTACCCCTCCCACCATATGAATGGTGGAATTCTCCAAATTCTTCTTTTAGTGCTGAGGTGTAATATAAAGCTTGGAATTTGACATATTAAATAACAGGTAGAATCCTCTGTCTGAACATGTTACAGCTGGTCACACACAAAAAAACCACAAAGTAAATATAAAAGATAGTTAAATAAATATTCGTGATTTGGCATGTGACTGAGGAATGTTAACATAATATATGTGAAATCTATGGTGGTTATATTGTTACTAGATATAAATACAATAAAAAATAACCAAGGCAAAAGAAAAATAAAGATGCATTTCAAAGCAAGGAAAATTCATATATATATATACATTTTTTTGGTGAATTATATTTTACAATTACATTTATAGTTTAGCTAATTATAGTAAATAATGGACATAATATAAAGTTAAGAGAAATGTGTTGATGTGAAGACACAGTATTATCTTGTAGTTTATTTTGTTCTTGAATAGTTTGAAGATTCAAATATCTTCGTATTATTGAATGATAATTGTACTCTAAAAATGAACTCCTAATGCACCTTTGCACAATAAATACTAATGTTGTTAACTAATATGGTTTTAATCAATGCCTGTCAGTGTTGTAATGTTGGGATATTAATTTATTGTTGTAATTAAAAAGGCAAGATAGAAAGCTCAGGTAGTACAGTATATAAAAACGAGCTTTTAATAGTTGGCACGCCAGTGCTGTTATTAAATAGTGTTGTAGTATTTAAGGTGTGAAATGAGTATTTTTCTACTCAGTAGGCAATAGCTCTTACATATAATGAGCTTACTTGTGAATTTGACACTTGGGTTAAATGCAGAATTCATGGAAGCACAGCTCTAGGGTATATTTTCGTATTAAGGTTAACTGATAAAACCTAGGAATTGTTGCAGAATCACACTAAAATGGCAACAGAATTGTCAGTAAAATTCACTGCCGAAAATGAAAATTATTTTTCTGTTGCTGTCTTAGCTCTTTTAAACTAACTAGACATAGATTATTAGAAAAATGTGAATATTCCAACCCTCAAACATCGTTTAGCCTAACAATTGTCAAAATGCAATATTTTTGCCTTAGAAATCTTGACTTTTCTTCACAGTTAGACAGTTCTGGCTGTCAGCTTAGTACCACATACTCAAGCCGTGTATACTCGTGCCCAGGATAATGATTAGCCTTAGTTTGTCTTCTGTGAAATGGACCTTATAATGTCTAACCTGCTTCCTTGTCACAACTGTTTTAAAGACTGAGATGAAATGTGTACGATAAAACCTTTTGAAAATCTAATTGCAAAGCCATGGCATTATTAATATTAGTTCTTTTGTATTACTTCATGTGAATTGGCCACTTTGTTGCCTTAGTCTTCACTTAACCCTCCAAGACGTGTACCCTTTTAGAGCATATCTTGAGGTTTTATTAACTTTTGAATTCAATCTTAAATTGGTCACCTAAATCTATATTCTTTCTATTATTTGTATTATTGTCATCTTGGGTTATCAGTTGCAAGAGGGCATAGTCTGTGGTTTTTTGTTTGTTAACAATATCTAATCATAGTGAGTTGGTTCAAATCCTCACTCCAAATACTGTGGAGGCTTTGGACAGGTCTTAGCCTCAGTTTCCTCACCTTTAAAGTGGGAGTAATAAAACACACTTGTTCTGAGGATTTAATGGGATAATGTCGTGTTGTAAGGCTGAATAAATATTAGCTGCTTTCATCATCCAGGCAAATGTCATCATCATCATTGTCATCATCATTAACCTTCTGGTATTGTAGAATTTTTTTTACAGTGCTCTAATAGAGAGACACCAAAAGGAAGTCAAAAAACATGTGTCTTACAGGAAAATAACTTTTGTTAGCAGAAAGGGAGCTAAGCACAAGCTTAACCTGAGGCTTGAAACTCCCAATCTCTGGTACGGTATTCTAGGTTGCCTTTGTATAATAAATTTGTACACACAGTAAAGATAAAAGGAAGATGTTTCACTATTAGTATAACTTCAAAGATAGATTTTTGGAATTTTGACAAATTTTGAAATTTACAATCGATGGAGCCTAACTATATATTTATGTGCCTGATGCTCATAGATTTATATTTCATAAGGCTCAGAGGTTTTATTTTGGATTTGTGTCTTTTGTGGTTTTGCTTCATTGGTTCAGATAGGGTACAGCTGCATTTAACTCCTGAGGCACCAGTATGATTATTATATGATGCCTGGGTAATAGACTAGATCTTGTTTTGGAAGTTTTTGTTAAAATTTGATTGTATATCTACTAACTAATTTGCAGATGACATATTAAAATGGAAAATTTATAAGAACTGAGAAGATATTATTGTTTTATGCAGTATATCTTGTACCTTTTAAAGACCGATGTTAATGTTTTCTGTTGGATTATATGAGCTTTCTCTATTTCTCATGTAACCCTTAAAACTGAGAGACCCTTGCTGGGTATGAAAGAAGAGAAGTACTTTGCAGATTAGCAGTTTGTAGTAGACGTTTAACTTAGTGACAGTAGCACAGGGCCACAAGGTAGATGGAAGATTCTCTCCCCACCAGCCTCCTCCTCCTCTTCCCAAGGGCAGCTGACCTTCTCCTCTCCAAAGAGGCGAGCCCCTTGCCAGCACATATGACTACAGACTATTACATTAATCTGTTTAGCTGTAGTACCAGCTGCTTGCATGTTTTTAATTATCTTATTAGATGGTGTAACAGTGACCTATGAAATAAATTGAAGGTGAACATTTTTAAACTTTCCTTTTTTTCCCCTTTGTTTCTAAATATCTTTATTGATCAAATTATAACTTTCCACAGAAGTTCATAGGAAATTTATATGGTTTTTGAGTCAATGTAATGTTTTTTTAAGTATAATGTTATAATTCCCAGTATAGAAAATAACTTCATTTTTGCCTGATTTTTGATAAGATTTAGGTTGTGTTTGTGTAGTCATGAATCCACATTAAAATTCATTGGTTTAATAGTCAATTTAGTAAGAGAAAACTGAGACCAGTTATTGGCATTCTCTGGGAAACTCAAAATATTTCTTAATTTTCAGGTATTATCTTGGTGTTGTATAAATGGCATAGGATAGAACATAAATCATTGTAGATTATTTTTAAATAAATTTGTGTATTTTACTCTAATTTTCTAGATTCTGTATATACAGTAGTAAATCATGTAGTCTACCCTAATTATTTTTACAATTTAATTTCATGTTACCATTTCTGAGTGTATTTTCTCAAGTTATGCAGTTAGGAAAAATGTGCTATCTTCTGGATTTCGACAATTGGACAATTTTCAAATAATACTTTGTAAATGAAAATGTTGACTCCAAGAGACACAGTTGAAAATAATAACCAATGGTTGTTCAGTTACAAGTAATAGCAATAAACAAGGATTGTAATAATTTAGTTAGAAATTCTGATGTTCAATTAAAAAAACAGAGGTAGTTGCATGCAGAAAGGATTGCATAATACTTGTGTGTCTTTTGAATTAGTAAATCCTACAACTGAGACTTGAAAAATTCATAAAGACATTTAATACTTATAAACTACACATTACTTGTATTTTTTAAATTAAGAAATGTTCATACTTTTTGGCTTATTTTTTTTCTGTAAAGACATACTATATTTCAAGAGAATCTTTTTTGAGGAAATAAAGAAAACCTTTTCCCTTTAAATGTTTTATTTTGTTTCTTTTCAAGGAAAGAAAATAAAAAGCAACTTGCCTCTAAA